AATTTAAATATAAAAATAGCAGTTGTACCCAAAATTTAATCAACGCAAATAATATTAAATTTATATAGAACATCAAACAGAAAGTATTATAGAACAAACTAAGTTCAAATTCTAAGAAATATCTCGATTTACCCTAACTGAATCTCGAATAATTTAACTATATTTATTCCAATAAAGATGTTTTTAAAAGAGATAGAAAGTTTAAATGCTATTACAAAACATTATAGAGTTATAACTTCAGTAGTAAAGATAGTTATAGTTTCTGTTTCTCGAATATCCATAAAAAAATTACGCTGTACAATTTTATCAGCTTTCTATTGAAAGATTAGTAAAACAAGAACTCAAATATGTTTCTGCTAATGTCAGAATAAAATATTTCAAACGATATATCGACGTACTGTACGTCGGAAATAAACAAATTTGACCCATTCTATTTGCATAAAGCAGGCCTCATTATTAATAATTATAAAATGAATGTTATCGTTGTCACGTATGATTTGTATTCATTCTAATTATCATTTATATGACGTCAAACGTGATTTAAAAAAAAGAGAGACGGAATCATTAAAGTAATTATAATAAAATACAAAAATTGAAAAATGTAGTAAAAATCTATATTTTTGTAAAATATCACTTTGGGTGGCATTTATTTTTAGTTCTTTTTTATTTAAATGAATGAATCAATATAGAAAAAATAACTAAAATATCGAAAACATTTATCACTTGGCCTTCCTTAAATGAGATTTAAGTACTGTACAATATACACACCATATGATTTACAGAATTATTTAGATCTAAAAACAATTGTTGTGCAGCTTAAATTTTTTATTTAAGCTGCACATAATTTCTTCCATCCTGATTAATTGTTTACTATGTATGACATTACAAAATTTCAATATTTAAAATCTCGCTAGGAAAGTTCAAATGAGAAAATGCATTTATGGACAAAAGAATAATGTTTCAGAAACCAACTAATATATGTACTATTTTGAAACTTGCAAGTTCATTTTTCAGTTAATAGAATTTTATTGCTAGATGTTTTTTTGCACTAATACTCATAATTCCTTAAATCACAAAATCATCTCGAATAATCTTATTAAATCAACATGTTTGCATATATTCAAATATTTAATCCTCTTAAATATATCCGAATGTTTAAATCTTATAAATTTTAATTAATTTTAAGATACAGCATTTAATCCTTAAATAAATTATAATTTTATACTACAAAATTTTGGAAACCTCTTAAAAATTTGAAATTGTATCCTGTTATATATTGCAATATAAACACGGGAGTAATCTATATTAATAAAAATATTTTTCGTTGTTGCTATTGATATTACCTAGACCTACATATGATCGATCGATTATACAGTATATTGTAAAAGTTCATATTTAACTCGAATGAGAGTAATCCTTGTTCTATGATTTAAACTATCAATTTTTCAATTTGACAAAGAAAGCATAACTGAAAAATTTCGTAAAATCCTAACGTCTCAGTATATGAAAATAAAGTTATAAAAAAATAAAAGTCAAGAAAATGATAAATTCTTGTAAATGTGCAAAATTAACTCTTTGATTAATTGTAAATATTTTCTAAAAGTTAAGAGAAAAAAGGTTTATTCAAACGAAAAGTTGATGCCATCTACTATGATACTACTATACATAGGCCTACTACTAATATGTATAACCGAACCGCGTAATTAACGATAAAGAAGTTTCTTCTGTATTTTGAAATAAAAATATTATTAATAGAAAAAATAGCAGGCAAAAATAAACATAAACTGATAGAGAATTCAAAATCTATTAGAATAAATATTACTAAAATAGTAGGATTTGTAACGTCATCCTTGAACAGCTATGAGTTGCAACCTGTTGCTATGCTTAGATTTCAATCGATGTGCGTATGTAATAGAATTGAACTTCAGCTAATTAATTTTTTAACGGTTTTTTGTGAAGGACTATGGAGTCAAGAGGAATGTTGTAACTGAAGAATACATAACTAAAACTTTTAAAACATTAAATGACTCAAATATTACTGCATTCAAATATAATTGATCTCGCACCAATATAATTTTTTTTTTTTTTTGCTATAAGATTAAAAAGTACCTCCAAGAACAACGATTTCAATCATATTTTTAATCCGAACAGAAAGATTATATAATGTAATAATTCAAAATATACGTTAAATTCATTATTTCAAAGACGAATGAAATACTGAAATTAGTATACTTCATTAGAAAATCATTATTTTGAAAATGAGTAAAAGTAACTTTATAATAAATAATTCATGTGTCTGGAAAGTAATGTCATTGCTTTTGGAATATTCATTACTTAAGGTAAAAAATAACATTTAAAGTTCAGCGATTTCAATGTAAAAACATTTAACACATTTCTTATTTTGATAATGTTTTGTTCAAAGCGGCAAATTTGACGCACTACTGTAATCTTAATTATAATCATTTACTATACACATTGTACGATAAAATTAACAGTAAATTCTTTTTCTAATCGTACAGAAACAAACTATTCATAACGCAAAATATTGTGACTACTAATACAATTCAAATGTACTAATAGCTGTATTTTCTATTTAAGGAACACTATTTGGAAATACATACAATTATAAAATAGGCTATCTGATGGAGATTCTAAAAATTATTTTTGAAATTTTATTAAAAGATCTATATTAGAGTAATATCATTCGAATATTTAAACATTTCTAATTGTCATAATATATCTTCCTAGCTTTTTTATAGACTTGTTATTTATTCACATGTTTTGAAAATTGTATTGAAAACAACTTTGTTAGCATGTATTTTAATTTAAAAGTTTTCTAGAAAACTGTTGCTTTCAAAATTAAAAGTATTTTAAAATAATGTTTTATTTTTATTTTAATACAAAATTTTGTCTTTTCTTAACATTAACTAAACATTTGTTAACAGTTCAATGCAGTCATGATTATAACCTATTTCTATTATGCAACAAAAAGAATATCGTATGAATAATATATTTTTATTTTTACAATAAATTTTTAATACAAAACAGACCAGTCTTTTATTTTTAAAACGAAAAAATACTTTTAAATTTTTATTAGAAGAGTTTTGAGCTTAGCATTTACCTAATTTTTCTACTGTAAAAGCTATTTATTCTCTTAATCGGAAAAAAAACAATCGAGTTACAAATAGTGAATAGTTCTTCAAATCGGCTCATTTTATCGATAATATACGAATTAAAACCTAAGTAAATAAAATTTTAGAATAAAATTGTTTTATTTTTTATTCCTGATCTTTAAATAGAAAGTGAAAACTTTATTACAGTATCCAAAATAATAATAATCATTTTGTTTATTTATTTAACATTTAAACATTCTAAAGATAGTCTTCGTATAAAAATAATCGCGCGAATTTTAGATATTCAATGAATCAAATTTGTTTCCTGTTTACTCTTAAATAATTTCGTTAAAATTAATCGAACTCAGACTCATTCAATGATTATTTGAAACTCTCTCAATATATTCGAAATCGCTTAATATGAATCATTATTTAAACTTTAAAAAAGTAATAATAATAAAACGGTTGGCATTTTAGCTTGAAACTATTTTTATCTATTCATTTAAATACAGGATATGTATAACTTATACTCTTTTTTTAACGTATCTGTTGAGAGAATACATTTATATTTCAAAATAATCTGGGTTATGTAAGTCATTAGCTGGAATAATGTATTCTTTCTCTGTAAGCATTATTTATACATATTTTCGATCAAGAAAAATAATGTCTACGCGAAATGAATTCTGTAGGCTGTTTTAAATCCTTTCTATATTTCAGCTTATTATTAATATTCAAAGGTAGGTCTAATATAACGAAATATCGAAATTAAACGTAAAAAAATAACAAACAAATACTTAGATGCTATATAAATTCATAATCAAATAAATATGAAAGTTATGTATTTTATGTACAGTACGTCTTAAATTTAATATTCTGTTAAAGTAGAATTAAGTTAATTAAATTAACTTTACAGGTGTCAGAGGGAATCAATAGCGTTAGTAAGAAAAATTTTTATGGTATCGAAACAATTTCTCGTATGGGCTTTCAAATTTCTTATTCTCTATTTAATTTTTTTGTTCTTCTATTATTAAATTTTTCTAAATGACCAATTGTAAATGCATCAAATGAAAATTAGTATAAGCAAACATCAAAGAAACTGCAATTTAACTATTGAATTACATTAATTTCAATATATAATTTCAAACATTCAAAATTTATACATTAATAAGATGAAAATGGAATAAAATAAAAATTATTGTAAGTTAGAAATATACTTACGAAACATACGAGATATTTAACTTTATATTGAAATGAAATAAACAAATAAAATTGGATCATCTTTGGCATTTAAATTATATATAAATAATAATGCCCTTTTAGTAATTAGAACATAGCCATCTCGGTATTACGTTAATTGTTGGGTTCATAAAAGGAAAAATGCGCAAATGATCAGTTGAAATGCAGCACACAGTGGAAAATGTTCATTTTTACTTAATACGAATTCACCACACCCAATTGAATTTTGTATATCAAAACCTATAAAAATTAATGCCTCTATAGCCTATAAAATCTGCAGTAAGCTCCATTTGATTTTATAAATTGAACAGTTTTATCATTTATGTATTTATCCTATATAAACATTCGTTATATAAATTTTGACATCTAATCACTATCGAATCCTAACGCACTTTTAGATTTAAATAAATAACTACTAAAAACAAAAGTCGAAAGATTTTAGAAAAATGTGTATTTTTATCGTTAAATAAATGATAGTATCTAGATTTCTTTAAAAATATTTTACATTAACTGCTATAGATAGAATTACTGATAGCGAAAGTCAATACCGTCTGTATTAAACGACATTTAATAAATTTAAAATTCTTCACCAAGAAATCAATGGAATAGAACTGAAAATGTAATTTAACATAAATTTCTGTTGTTACTTACCCAGTGCCACGCGTGAACCACATAACTCAAGAAGAATATTCGAACAATACAGTTCGACCACTTATCACGCTAACTCCGAGAGACTTAATAGGTCAACACTTAATCTTCTCCATTATCTAAATGAATGAACAATTCAGCGGTGTAACTTTAGAACGGTACAGTTGTTACTTTACTATACAACAGGCGTTGTTAGATCATAACTGTCACTAGGGTAAATATGCCACACTACTACCTCTATTTTGATCAATATCTCAGACTAGTACAATGACTGTTCGTGTACACTGTTACTTTCCATTAGATCTCTTCTGTTTTTTACTCTTTTATTCTATCAATTTATAACTCCATCTACTGGAAGAAAATAAAAAATGAAATGTATAAAATATGTAATGTAAAAAATGCACGTGACAAATATGTCTTTGACATATCATTAACTCTATTCGTGTTTGGAGTATTGACAAAAAGTTATGATTTATAATCAAATAATAAAAAAATCACATTATAAACTTTTATAATTCAAAATTATTACATAAATGCTATTACTTTTCCGGATGTTACCTATAACAGAGGGAAAAGTATGCTGATCGGTCAGAAAATGGCCCCACCACTGAGATTTTTTATTCTTGGGCTCGGGAGACCTTGAAACTTCGAGAAATAAAAGAAAAAAAAATCGGAAAATTTTCTGTATGTATACACGTTAGTGTGTGTATGTATGTTTATGGGCATGATTGTGTTCACCTTTGAAGCTTTATAACTCCTGTGCTTTTTGTTGAAAATTCTTAATTTTTTCAGGGAAGTTTGTGTATTAGGGAAATTTGTGCTACTAAATTTTAGTAATTAAAGGTCAAGAAGGAGGGAGATAGATGTTATATCTCGAGTATGGTCAGACTTAATGAAGATTTTAATCGTTATTAGCATTTACAATTTTATATATATAAATCTCATCTCTAAACTGAAAATTAAGCATTTTGACGTTTTATAATAATTAATAATGTAAAAAGTGTTTTTGATAAAATATCATAACAGATGACGCCACACGCAATTTTGCCAGGAATGTTACGTAACCATTTGCTGAATTTTTTTAAAGTAAAGGTCATTTAATTTATATTATTCCTATCTGTTAGTTGTACAACAATATTTTAATTAATAATTCATTATTATTATTTCTAATTAATAATAATTTATGGAGATATATTGGAGAACATATTTAATTTATATGTTCTCCAATATATCTTCAAAGTCAGCTTCAAACCAAGATTTTAAGTTTTTCTCTGAGGATAGACACACAAACAAACAAGAAATTTTAATTTATAATACAAAATAAATTAATATAAATCTTAATAAATTTTTAAAATAATATTACAAATGTAAAAAATTTGGTTTACTACATACTACACTTATTTCGATACGATACTACACTTATTTCTGAATAGCTTCTTTATATTCTGTAATTTTATTTTATTTTAGATTATTAAAACTTTCATATTTCTTCTTGTTCTAATTAATTATTTTGTCCATTTTTTATTTATCCTAGAACATTAAATTGTTTCTAAAAATATATTTCGAAATATAAAAGAAATGAATGACAACGCTACTAAGAAATGCATCGGATAATAATATGATCACAATGTAGGGCATATATTTTTCATTCCGTTATTGTATGGAGTTTGAGAAGCATTATAAATAATAAAATATACAGTAGATCATAAAGATCACACGCAAATTTCGTTCTAAGATCTTTAAAACACTTTTGTTTTAAACAAAAAAACAAAAAAACTTAAACATATTTACGCGCAATTATTAATTTGAGAGACCTTTTTTTTATTCTACTTACATTTTGTTCTTTTCTAAATTAAAACTTCAATTTTTCATTTGCTTAAATTCGTTAATAAATTAATACAATTAATTTTTTAAAATCCAACAACTTGTATTAACGTTATTCAATATCCAAATTTTGTATTTCGCTCTTCTGGTGGTTTTTCCAGTATGCATAATTCCCTAAACTCTATCGAAATTTCTGTAAAATTATATAGTCTATGTTTTAGGTGAAAAATGTTTCTAAAGTTCTGTGATATATCGGGATATTTTTGTATCTGAAAAACTAAAGGATACCTTGTATTTTTAAAAAGATCTTTTTCGTTTGTTGCAGAGTAAAGATTAACTTGCGACTTCTTTTTCTAATCAGTGAAAATTTATAAAAACGAAACACTATATTAATTGAACCATTTACTTTTAAAATGTATTAATCGTCGAAATTTTTTCTTAAAAAAATACAAATAATAAGTTTCACTTTTTAAGCATGAAATATTATGTAACGCGCTGTACTGTACCTGTACTGTACATATATTTTGTTAATAGTTAAAGATTCATTTTCCGTTTTGTTATGAGTGTTATAATTATTCAATTATTACGTGACTAAGCTAGTCCATAATCGATCATAATTACTTTATTTTTATTGATGTGGTCATAATAAAATACCAAATTATTTATAATTAGTACAAAAATGAAATATATATATATAGCCTATATATAGCATTTCTTTTAACAGATTAAATTTTTATTTTATCGCATAAAACAAATATTAAATGTATATTTATGTGTTATGTTTATAATCTATTGTATGCATTTATGGGATTGTTTATTTTGGCCTTGACAACTACAAATATGCATGTTTAATTTATTCTTCAATAATAAGATGAATGTGATACTTTATCGATTTAGTAAATATTTAAATAGAAGACGTTCAAACATTTATTTAAATAAAAAATATAATTAACATTTTTAAAAAAGTTGTTTATTGAAAAAATTATTGAATTTTTAATTAAATAGGTACAGTACAGTTTTTTTCGAAAAATATGTTTATCGATTCTACTTACGGATTAATAATTAATGAGGATTTTTAATTAACTAAATATAGCTACAATAAAAACATGTTTTCCGTTTTAAGAAGTTGTAAACAATGTTTTTCAATTGTGTTTAAGATTTTTAAAGTCGTTTATCTAACTAAAGTCAGGGATTAATCAAATGCGTTTATGGAATAAATTCGTAGTTGCGAATTTTTAAAAAGTTTTACAGTTCAAAACAATTCTAGAAAATGACTGAGTTTGAATTTTATTTCCCGAAATTCTCTTTCAACTTGTAGAATTTGATAATGCACAAAATTATAACGTAAACATGTAAATTGAATTAGTCATTTCCTGTAATGAAAAATATTTCGAAGGAAAAATTCGTTATGCTAACGATGATGCATAATTTTTGCATTAGTCTCACGGAAACGAACTTTGTAAAACTTATACAGTAATTCTAAAATTTTACATATTGTCATTAATACGTGTTTTTCCTTAATGCATGAAATGGTTACAGTATTAATATATCACTCAGGTTGCTAATTAATTACCAAAATTTNTTTATTAAATTAGAATAACGATATTAATAATTATTCTAATTTAAAATCATTAAAATGCATTAAAAATAACACAAAATTTTTGTAAGTCAACCAGTAAACTTGCAAAACTTATCATCATAATATCACAAATTCAAAATAAATATTTCAGAAATTACAAGATTAAATAATATGAATTATGTATTTACAGACTTATTTAAGATGTACAAAAACAACCTAATCAATATTATCCGGGATTTTATGAGGTTATCAGATTTGACTTATTGGGTCGAATAAAACAATTTAATTACTTATCTTGAAATTTATAAATAAATTAGTTATCTTTCAATAATTTAAAAATTAATTTTATTTGTATTTTTCATTTTTAAATGCATTATTTAAATAATAAATGCCATATCCATAAATTCTTGGCATATTATTTAATCACAATTCTTAACATGTTATGTCATGTTATGCGTAAAAATTAAAACGTCTTTCGAAAATGTTTGAAAAATTGATAACAATTTCTTTAAACTTTCACTCAAATCCTTTCTTCAAAATAATCAGAATAAAGCAATTTCAATAATTTAATTGACACACATATACATTTTTCACGGTATTTACTCTTTATTGGGCTGCAATTTGAAGAAATTGTAGATCTATAAATTCTCACTGTCGTCCATACGTCTGTCCGTCTGTTTTTCCTCAGTCGCAAGAACGGAATTAGATAAATAAAAGACGAGACTAGATATGAAAACCATAGGGGCAGAATGTCCCGAATAACTATATACAAATTTCCGATGCAAACAGGAAGTACTGTACATTATTTCAATTCAAAAATTTTCCTCTAAAAGAAGTTAATAGATGACAGGTGTGACTGTATTGTTAAAGAAAAAGTATGACGTACAGGGGCAAGCCACTAGTAATTTGAAGTAGAGAACATATATTATAAATTTAAAAAATTAAAACTATGATTAAAAATTGCAACCCGGTATTGTTATTTTTCAAATTTTTTATTCGTCTCGAGTACACATTAAAATTTACTCGCAGTACACGCAGTACACGTATATTATTATTTTTTTATTTTAAAAACTGACAAATTTATTTATTTTTTCATTTTAACGTATGTGAAATTGACTCTTTTTTACTGTGAAACATTAAATTACACTAAGAGCCAGTTTAACATTTAATTTTTCACATACTTTTATGTTACAATAAATTTAAAATTTTTTGATTTATTAACACGACTGGATGCCCAACATATATATTAGCACAGAAAGATCAAATAAAACTTTTCAATTTTAGAAAAAAAATAACGTTTTAAACTTGGAAACAAAAGATATAGTACGACTGCTTTGGATATATATCATCCTCATATAGTTGCTAAGAAATTTATCGTTGAAATGTGGCACTAAACGATATAATACTATTATTTCTGTAAATTATTTCTACTTACAAACACTTGAAACGTTCAAAAATTACTAAAAAAGTTTTTAAGCGAAAAGATAAGTTAACTGTTTTTATATATTTCAGGAGATATTATACACAGTATAATATCTGCTGAAATATATAAAAACAGTTAACTTCAGGAGATATTATACTGTGTATAATATATTTATGAACTGTTTTTATATATCAGATATTATACTGTCAGGAGATATTATACTGTGTATAATATCTCCTGAAATATATAAAAACAGTTAACTTATCTTTTCGCTTAAAAACTTTTTTAGTAATTTTTGAACGTTTCAAGTGTTTGTAAGTAGAAATAATTTACAGAAATAATAGTATTATATCGTTTAGTGCCACATTTCAACGATAAATTTCTTAGCAACTATATGAGGATGATATATATCCAAAGCAGTCGTACTATATCTTTTGTTTCCAAGTTTAAA